ACAACTTTAGCTTCACACATCATGCATACGGCTAATATATGAGAGATTCTTTAGTTAGTGGCACTTTGGACTTGTTTGAAATCTTTAAAAATGAAATATAAAACTGGGTTTCATCATGTCCTGGAATAAAAGATATGGCCTTGATCAACCCTTAAGTGGAGTTTTTATTTTGATGGCAATTTTTTTTTTTTAGGAAAACGTTGAATAAGTCTTGGACTTACTAACCCAACATGTTAGAAAGTCAACAATTATTTTTTTTATTTTTTTTTTGTTCTGTCTCAAAAACTGACCCATTTTAATGATACCTAGTTTTAAAAGTTATAAAACAAATTTTAAAATAAAAATGTTTAATCTTCACACTGTCACTTTCCATCATAACATTACTGTATTAAATGTGTCTTAAAATGTTAATTAAATTTTTTTTTAACTATACATACATATACCAGCTGAACTGAAAATATGATTATTTGTTTTTAGAAAAAAGTGAAATATATAATTTCCCTTGTTTCAACACAATTTAAATGTGTTATATAGGGGAAGGTAAAAAGCCCAAAATATAGCCATTCTGGCATATATGAAGTTTGATTCGCCATAACAGGATTTAAAGCTATTATAATCAGTAATTTAAAACTATCAATGACTATTAATGTCTTCGAGATCAGTCTAGAAGCTTCCCTGAAGTGAAGGATCACGCACATACAAATGACAGACCTGTCACGTTACGGTTTAAAAAACGCAGATTCTCGTCATCATTCAATTATATGACAGATACATATTTGCAATCATGGAGAGCACTAATTTACCTTCATCAGACTTACATGAGATTTTATGAAAGGCACTTGTTGGTCGTAAAGTCCGTCCATTCTGCAGCGGTTGGACTCTGAGCGCGCCGTCCGATCACCCTTTGAAGTAGGAGACTGACTTTAAGCGATTTATTGGAGATGGAACATGAACTGCTGCGCGCTCGAGCGCATTCAGCGACTCCATTCATAAATATAGCTTTCATTTGACTGACTACATGCTGACTATTAGGAAACAGACACTAAATGCAGCAGATCCGTGACATTTTATAAAGTTGCAAGTGTCCTAATGTAAATATGTTGCGGTGCTGTGAGTGCGTAACGCTGTGAGCCGATCCTCCGAAGGGACTGGACTTTTGGAAACTCTTTTTTTCTGTTTCTAGTTACGTTTTACTGAAGCGTCGAAGGTGATGGAGAACTTAAAGCTTGCACTCACCCCAGTAAACGCACCGCATTCATTCATGGATGTGTCGCCGGACTGAATGAGAAAAGCGCTCTCGTGTCTCTCCTCCGCGCTCAAGTCAACACACACTCACTGTCTGCTGTTCCAGGGGCCTCCCTTCAGAAACAGCCGGCGCCCCGCTTCCCATTGGCTGCCACTGTCCTCCGCCGGATCAGATTTCCACCCGTCAATCAAGAGCCTATTTCACCGTTCCTTCATTAAAATATGCTAAACTGATATTGCAATTATAAGGTGTTTATTTATGAGAACCACAGCACATCATTATAATATCTCTTGTGGCTAGATGTTTTGGAAATTATGTGCATAAAAGTGCACACAATCATATTGTATCCAGTTTACAACGCTTACAAATGACCTAACAGTTTTTGACAAGCTAAAAGAAGCTTTCAAAAGAATGAAATAAACAGACATACGTTCAGAATGATCACATCAACATTTTCCAAAAACATTTGTTATTCATAAATCTCTTTTAGATAATTTAATGCAGTGGTTCTTAACCTGGGGTTAACCACGGCCCCCTAGAGGACCTCAGAAAACTCCAAGGGGGGTAATATTATTTTAATATTAAATATAAGAGACAAAAAGGCATTATCACAAAATAAATCCTGACATGGTGATCAGCACACCAATGGCTATCTTAGAGACAATGGGCAGAACACAAGCACAAATGAGTGGTCAGTTATACAGTGTTGCCATGGACAAGAGTCAACATTCAGAAATATTTGACCAATCAGAATAAATTAATTCCAAATATCTGTGTAATGAGTTATACATACTGTAATAATAATAAAAAAATAAAAATAAAAAATGTATATATATATATATATAATTGAAATAATAATAATAAATTATATTATCAGTAAATAAGTAAATAAAAATGCAGGAGAACCTTTACAAGAAAATACTATTTCAGTTTTCCTGTTTCAACATTTCACATTTAATTCAATGTGTTCTCGTTTCTTTGTAATGGCTTCTGAAATTACTATCAATTAATAAAATGATTAATAAAATAGTTTCTAGACCTTTTTTGTAGCCACTAAAAATCGAAAAAATATAGTAGGCTACAACATGTTCACAGTTTTTTTTTTGTATGAAGTAAACTAATTTTTCCATTTCCATTTTTCCACTCCTGATTAATATAGGTTCCATGCTATAACCTTGTTTCAATTTTAATTGAATGAATAGACAAATATACAATAGCAATAGATCCTAGTTTCTTTTGATAAAAAAAGACAAAAGATTAACAAAGAATCACTTAGATTAATTGAATCTAAAGTCTAAGTCTTTGTGAATGACTATATTTGAATATATATATATATAAGTTGTGATTTGTGCTAACTATGTAGGGTTCGCAGGGGTCAAGTGAGGAGGATCTTTTTTTCCCTCCATAACACCTATAGTTATATATGTGTTTTCACACCTTATCTGACCTTTGAGATGAAGTTCATTATATCCATTTACATGCACCATATTTAATACATGCTAAAAGTGTCGGTCCAGTGTTTCCTCGTCGCAAAGCTCTAATCACGTTATTAAGAAACATCTAACATGTCACTTTTTCAGGATCAGGTAAACCAGCACATAAACAGAGCAACTTCCATTATGGGGAACTGATGGAAACCTAAACCGACATTTCAAGTCATTCTTGATGCAATGTATAATCCCGTGAGTTTTACAGAATGCAGGACAGGTATAGATGTTCGTTTGACAGGTTAACATTAAAAGGTTACAACCATAGGGATCCATTTGTTGTCAGGTCAAGAGGTGAGGGTTGCAGCAAGCTGACAGGTTCAAAAGGTTAAAGTAGGTGTGTTTGTTAGAGTTACGAACAGACAAATTACCATGGCAACATCTGGCATTATATAAAATGTGTGTTTTCTGTAAAAATTTTGCTATTACTGGTTTCAAAACTTTTATAAAAGAGCCAGTTGGTCAAAATTTGTAAATGTTATATTTTTCTCTAATATAAATCTGGGATCTTAAACAGTTTGATCTCATACAAAGTTAAGTGAAAAAAAAATTGAGTAAAATTAAAATGCACAAGTATTTGACACAGCACATTATTAATGATTATTTTAATGGCTTCAATATAATTAAATTAAGCATCATATACGCATGTTATAACAGGCCAGGCTTAAAATGCAGCACTCACTTTTATACAATATAAAAATCTCTTTATCCACCGAAAGGGTCTGTGAAGATTCTTGGTATAAATAGTCTATGGATTGTGACATTCGTTTTAACTGCTAAAAATGTCATATGTCATATCTTGATCCAACATGCAAATATATCAGTCAAGTTCATTGTCAGTTCACTGAACAAAACACTTATTATGAAGTGCAGGCTATATGGGGCTGAGTAAAACTTACAAAGAGCAGGCAAAAGCACGCACGTCAATCTCAACTGGGTGCTCGACTAAGAAACCAGTGGAAACATTTTTTTAAATGTAAAGTCGGCAACACCAAAGCTCCAAAAGTATCAAAAATGTATGTGTGTGTGTGTGACGTTTCGAGCATGAAGATGAAGATGTCTGATGAAGAGCCTGCGTGCTCGAAACGTCACACACACACATACATTTTTGATACTTTTGGAGCTTTGGTGTTGCTGAGTAAAACTTAACCAGGCCCAACAAGAAACTTAAGAATTCAGTTATCAGGATGTGTAATAGTATCTCACATCATTGCATGCTGCTATCGCAAGAAAAGGAAAGGTGCAGTCGCACATTTGCTTTAGCTCTAGCAGAAGTGCATCACAACACATGAATATGCATGAGCAAAGCACCTTGAGACCATGACAACCATGCCTTGTAAAGACTAAATACAACAAAATTCAGTCTTTCAATCTGATTCTTAGTCAAAAACCAAGCAGCTTTGGCTTAAAACAAAACACAGACAGGCATTCACATTAAAAAGCCCAAACACTGCACATCAATTACTGACTCCAGACGAGGATTGTCTAACAATAACATAAAACCTCCATTTATGCTTTCTCAGTTTATAATATAAAGATTGCTTGTCCACATGTTCATGCTTCTGGAAATTATTATTTTCACTGTAGTTAGTTGATCCTTCTTCAAGTGACTTGACCACATTTAGTGTTTAGCAATTAAATCATTTTATCCGTCCAGATTTTTTGAGCCGTGGTTTTTTAAAATGCAACTTTCAAAACAA